CTGGTGTTTTGGCGTTGGCGCTGGCGCTGGCGTTGGCACTGGCGTTTTGGCGCTGGCGCTGGCGTTGGCGCTGGCGTTTTGGTGCTGGTGCTAGTGCTAGTGCTGGTGTTTTGGCGCTGGCATTGGCGATGGCGTTTTGATGCTGGCGCTCTCGCCTCCCATCCTCCCTTTGTTCCTCCCTCCGTTCCTCCCTCCGCTCTGCGCCTCCCTTCCTCCCTTCGTTCTTCCCTCCGTTCCGCGCTTCTCTTCCTCCCTTCGTTCCTCCCTCTGTCCCGCGCCTCCCCTCCTCCTCCGTGCCGTGCTTGCCTCCCTCCCTCTATTGTGCGCCTCCCTTCCCCCTTCCGTTCCACGCCTCCCTCACTCCCTCCGAACCGCGCTTCTCTTCCCCCCTCCGTTCCGCGCCTTCTTCCTTAACTCTGAACCGTGCTTCTGTTTCCCCCTCCGCTCCACGTATCCCGTCCTCCATCCGTTCTGTGCCTCCCTTCCTCCCACCGTGCATCCCTCCATTCTGTGCCTCCCTCCCTCCCTTCATTCCGCGCCTCCCTTTCTCTCTGCATTCTGCGCCTTTCTTCCTCCCTCGGTACTGGCAGCAGTAGAGCGCACATACCGCCTGTCCGAGATGAAATCTGCCAGTGACTGAGGGAACCGGGTCACTTGAGTCACACTTTGTTCCTTGCCTATATTCACCACCGATCATGGCAAGTGATGATGCTCGCTACAGCTGAGGGCACTTCCCAATGGCGGCTCGATTTCACACTTTTCACCAGCCTCAAGTCTTTCTCGTTTTCCTACTGTTCATCTACCCCTCATGGCATGTGACGGTACTCCCAGCAGTAGAGGAAACATTATGCCTGTTCGATATCAAATGTGAATGTGACTTGAGGCAAGCCCTGACTCACCTCGACTCCGTTCCTGCTGACGAGATTCAGGCGCGCTCTTTTTATTTGTAGGTATGTTCCGATTAGCTTCACATGTGCCGTTACTACTGTAACACTACCATGTTTAACCTCCTTGCCTTCACATGTGCTGTTCTTACAGTGACACTACTCTGTTTAACCTCCTTGCCTTCACATGTGCCGTTACTATTGTGACACTATTGTGTTTAACCTCCTTGCTTTCACATGTGCCATTACTACTGTGACACTACTCTGTTTAACCTCCTTGCCTTCACATGTGCCGTTACTACAGTGACACTACTCTGTTTAACTTCTATGCCTTCACACATGTGCTGTTACTACTGTCACACTACTCTGTTTAACCTCCTTGCCTTCACACACGTGTCATTACTACTTTAACACTACCCTGTTTAACCTCCATGCCCTCGCATGTGCCGTTACTTTGTCTAGTCTCTCTCTCTCTCTCTCTCTCTCTCTCTCTCTCTCTCTCTCTCTCTCTCTCTCTCTCTCTCTCTCTCTCTCTCTCTCTCTCTCTCTCTCCCTCTCTCTCTCTCTCTCAAGTGGTCCTGCTCATTGAGGAAACCTAGGTACAAGCTACATACCGGCAGAGTGAACCTAGGAACAAGAACATACACTACCACAAAACGGACCCCCAGCCCCGTCTCTCTAACCCATCTCTACGACGCTTCCAAGTCCAAAGTGTCGTATACATCCCCGAGACAAGGAGCCCAAGGGTCTGCCCTGGGTTGGGGAAAAGCTGCATCGAGAGGCACCCCACTGCGGGTGATGAGGGTGTCCGCCTGCAGCCGCTGTAGGAGCACTGCCCACCGATGTAGAAAAAGGGAAAGTAGCCTCCACTGCAGGGCTCGGAGAAAGCAGTGGCGGTGTACGCAGTTGAAAGCGTTGATGATGTCCAGCTAAAGAATTATGTGCGCGGGGAAGGCTTTAAGCAGTGCGCGGATGACGTGAATTACACACTCGGCTCCCCCTGAAACCGCCACTCCGAACTGGTAAGGGAGGAAGACATGCATACTGCCTTTGCCATTTCTTGTAGTGCCGCCTTTGCAACTACGCGCAGGAAGGCTTCCCCGATAGCAATCGGCCGGACTCCACCCCCTGGTTTGCGTAGGGCTATTAGCTTGCTAGGTAGTAGAGGTGGCGTATGTCTAACGCCACTTTGCCTCCGATTACCAAGTTAACGGCATAGAGCAGAAGTTTCAGGACATGCCGGGTATCGCAGGTGTTCGAGGCACATGCCCGAGGGCCCACCCCCAATGCCACGCTGGCATTTTCCTAGCAGTTTTCGGAATGCTGTGTGGCTGAGTTCGAGTGTATTGTCGATCGCCTCTCGCAGGTGAGCCGGGGTGTCGCTCGCTGCCTGAGGGTGTTTTTCGCGCAAGCTCGCGAGCGTTGCAGCTGTTGGCTGCGAAGTTGGTAGTGGTTGTAACACCGCGAGTGCCTTGCGCAAATTCGCTTTCCGAACCAGCCCCTCGGGCCAAGCACGACGTCCCGCTGTGTCCTGTGGGTGGCGGGCAGATGGGGTAACAGCCGTGTTGTCCCTGCTGCCCACGTACAGCTCCTGCCACTTCCCTTCGCGGAACCACTATAGTTGACGCTCGATAGACTCCCACCGCTTCTCCGAAGCTGGGCCAGGCCTAAGTGTTAGGCGGGGTAGGAATATCAGCACGATCCAACCCCCCGGACATTCAGGGCATGCTTTGATGCGCTGGAGGGGGACCAGTATACAGTCCGTGAAAATCTCCAGAATTTTGGGGGCAGATATCTTGCTAGGTAGGGCTGCCTTGAGTCACACAGCAGACCCAGATCCCAACCAATGGCTGCTTGCCATAAAACTTTGTCGGCAGCCAGGGATTCTGGCGATCGGGACTCTTGCTGCTGCGGTTGACTGGGGCTGCGATTGGCTGGCGGGACGATCATGTCTTGTCCATTCATGTCTCGGCAGTCCCTATTCCTCCCCCCCCTCCGATTTGCATTCTCCTCTGATGCACCATCGGAAATTCCCTCCGTGCCTGGTTCCTCGGAGTCACCAGGTACATATGCATCCCCTCCTTCCCACTCCAATTCATCGCCCGATGATAGCTCCGCGTGTAGTTCAGACCTTCCGGGCCTGGCTCTCCAGTCCCCTGTGCGCGGGATTGGACATCTCCGCATAGACCTCTTCGTCCCCACGTTCCCCCCCATTCCGCATCGTCGTCGTAGGTGCCTGCCCGCTCGTCCACCTCGTCGCACAATAGTGTTCCCCTCACCTATGGTCCTGAGCCCCCCGGCGCCTGACTGTACGTCCGCCTGCACGTTGCTGGTCGTCGCGGCGTCCTCCGCGGTCGCTCGATCCTGCGGCCGTGGGGCGGCGCCTTCGCACGTCCTGCGCAAGTTGTAGCCGTTAGCATCGCGGCTCCCAAGCTCTCCTCTGCCGGCCCTGGTCTGAGCTCCTTCCCTCTCCACGCCTCCTCCCTGGGCAGCTTGTCGTGATGGAGCTGGAGGTGGAGCTGCTACTGTCTGCTCAGTGGCGGGACGAGTACTGGGGGGAGCCTGCTGTGTCTGGCGCAGCATGTCCAGATGGGCTGTTGGCGCGGAGCGGAGGGACGACGCTTCCACCTCGGTCCTTTGCTCCCCCGTCTTGCCAACCGCACTCGGGCGAGCCTCGTCTTCCTTTTGCATCTCTTCCCCCCCCCCCCCCCCCCCCGCCCCCGTGGGCTTCATGTGCGGTGGGGTGCACCAGTGGGGGTACAGCGGCTGTGGGTGACGTGGGGGGGGGCGTGGTATGGCTCTGTGGCACGGCTGACGGCATTAGCCAGTTGCTTTGGGTGGTTGGCGCTAGTGCTGGAGCTTCTGCATCAGTCGCTGGAGCGTCGGCCCGCGGTGGCGCGTGATCCAGTATTTGTCTCGTCGCCAGCGGGCTCGGGCTCAGGAAGCCGTGGCGCAGCTGCTCTGGGGGCTGGTCTATCTTCCCCAGCTGCCAGGTCTAGCTGTTGACGAAGCTGGCACGGCGCCAGTGGCCGTGCGTGCGCTTGCGCGCGCTGAAGGGGCAGAGACTGCCCTAGGGCTCATAGCTGGCTCCGCGTCAGTACTCCACTCCATGCAGCGAGCGTTGCTGCAAGCCCTTGCACCGGAGTGAGCGCTGCTGTGGTTGGGGTTGTAGGCATAGTGGTGTTGTGCTCACTATGTGTCTCTGATCTCCCTTTAGATTGGCGCTGTCTAGTCGCCCATGCGTGTATGCTGTCCTTTCTATTCTGTGTATACACTGACTATCTGGAATGCTCCGACATGCGGCCAAAGGCGACGTGGCGGCCGCCGGCGCGAGTCGGCCGCCAAAAACCAGAGCACTTGAAGGCTTCTAATGAAAATAATGAGGAATGGAACTCGGAGAGGTGGTCGCATAGCTCTGGCCTCTCTCTCCCTCTCTCTCTCTCTCTCTCTCTCTCCCTCTCTCTCTCTCTCTCTCTCTCTCTCTCTCTCTCTCTCTCTCTCTCTCTTTCTCTCTCTCTCTGTCTCTATCTCTCCTTCTCTATCTCTCTCTATCTCTCTCTATCTCTGTCTATACATATATATATATATATATCCCTCTATATCTCTCTATATCTATATCTCTATTTCTCTATATCTCTCTCTATCTCTCTCTCTCTATCTCTCTCTCTCTCTCTCTCTCTCTCTCTCTCTCTCTCTCTCTCTCTCTCTCTCTCTCTCTCCCTCTCTCTCTCTCTCTCTCTCTTTCTCTCTCTCTCTCTATCTCTCTCTCTCTCTCTCTCTCCCTCTCTCTCAACATCACTCTCTCTCCTTCACTCTCACTCTTACGCTTTCGATCACTTTTCTCCCGCAGTCCTTATTCGTCCAATTCTACAAATTGCCACTGCAACACTGCTCGTGCCTTGCAACGTCTACGTACTTCTACCATTTCCTTCCTTCCAGATTTCACCCCTTTCGCTCCTCTTCTCAACTTCTCTCTCAAAATGTCCCTCTCTCATTCGCTCTCTCCGTTTCTCCCTTTTTTCCACTCTCTCTCAGAACAAATCCCTCTTCTTCACTCTCACATTCCTCCCTTGAATACCTTTACTCTTACTCTGTTTTAAACTTTCATCTATCTCTTGTTTTCCGCAGTCTTTATAAGTCAGTGCCTCATTGCCCCTGTCTTGGAACTTCTACGTACGTATCGTTTCCTTTCTTCCAGTCTCCCGCTCTTCTCTCCATCACTCTTTCTCTCTCTCTTTTCCTCTCTCTATCTCTCTCTCTCTCTCTCTCTCTCTCCCTCTCTCTCTCTCTCTCTCTCTCTCTCTCTCTCTCTCTCTCTCTCTCTCTTCCCTCTCTCTCTCTCTCTCTCTCTCTCTCCCTCTCTCTATCTCTCTCTCTCTCTCTCTCTCTCTCTCTCTCTCTCTCTCTCTCTCTCTCTCTCTCTCTCTCTCTCTCTCTCTCTCTCTCTCTCTCTCTCTCCTCTTTTTCCGCTCTCTCAACTTCACTCTCTCTCCTTCACTCTCACACTCCCCCCTTCGATCACTTTTCTCCCGCAGTCTTCATTCGTCCAAATCTACAAATTGCCACTGCATTACTGCTCCTGCCTTGCAAATTCTATGTACGTACCCTTTCCTTCCTTTCAGCTTTCCCCCTCTTCGCTCCTTTTCTCCACCTCTCTCTCAAGTGGTCCCTCGCTCTTTCTTTGTCTACCTTTCTCCAATTTTTTCCCTCTCTCAACACCGATCCCTTCACCCTCACATTCCCCCCTTGAATCACTTTGCTCTTACTTTGTCTCTAACTTTCATCGATCTCTTGTTTTCTCCCGCAGTCTTTATTCATTACTGCATCATTTCCCCTGCCTTGCAACTTTTACGTAAGCATCATTTTCTTTCTTCCAGCTTCCCTGCTCTTCGTTGCTCCTTTCTCCATCTCTCTCTCTCTCTCTCTCTCTCTCTCTCTCTCTCTCTCTCTCTCTCTCTCTCTCTCTCTCTCTCTCTCTCTCTCTCTCTCTCTTTCTCTCTCTCTCTCTCTCTTTCTCTCTCTCTCTCTCTCTCTTTCTCTCTCTCTCTCTCTCTCTCTCTCTCTCTCTCTCTCTCTCTCTCTCTCTCTCTCTCTCGCTTGCTCTCTCTCTCCCTCTCTCTCCCTTGCTCTCTCTCTCTCTCTCTCTCTCTCTCTCTCTCTCTCTCTCTCTCTCTCTCTCTCTCTCTCTCTCTCTTTCTCTCTCTCTCTCTCTCTCTCTCTCTCTCTCTCTCTCTCTCTCTCTCTCTCTCTCTCTCTCTCTCTCTCTCTCTCTCTCTCTCTCTCTCTCTCTCTTTCTCGATTCCTGTGTTTTGAAGTTTAGGCAAGTTACTTTCATCCTGGTACTTATACGGCCAATGTGTTTGCAAACTTAATATGTATAGTAAATGTTTTACATCTACCAATGTTTGTGTGCGTGAACATTCTACACGGCTAAAATTTTCCATGGCTTCAACATGTTCATCTTCTCCGATGATCATCACCGGGGGAACGCTAGCCCGTGAGTTTGAGAAGGTGTATAGGCTCAAGCTGATATACATTATTGGTGATGGAAATTGCCTATATCGAGCTTTGTCCAAATGGTTGCACAACACGCAAGAAAGGTATGAGGAGGTCAAAGATAGGCTATTGAGACATGTGGTTGCAAACTGGAGAAATCCTGAATTCGAGTACTGGCTCGTCGATAGACCGTGTTTACCAGGCATGGATTATTACGCACACGCTTCTGAATCTGGAGAATGGGGATCTATCAATGAGGTGAAGGCGTTTTCGATTGTTTTCAACGTGACGGCCATTGTTTGAGTGAGAAAAACCCTTTTTTGGGCATGTTTTCGTGCGCGCAACCCTACCTCATCTTGTGGCGTACACGATTTGAATTTTGATATCGATGCAAGCCATTATTCTCTTCTACTCCCTTCAAACAATGGAAGTCTATGTGGCTCCAGATACGCGCCAGGTGAGAATGACACAGCTACTACAGTACCAGCCAATAATGACACAAATTCTCATAGTGAGGGTAATAGCCTAAAGGAAGAAAGAGATAACGTAGATAACAGTAAGCAGGGTACGAGTAGTTCGTGCAACAATAGGCGAGATTGTCATGATGATTCAAAAACTGCCATCGATAGCTGTCGTGCTTGTCATCACACGCAACCAATCCGTGCTACACCACATGATAAAAATGGACCTCACCAATATAAGAGGAAATATTAACGTGATTCGGTGACCATGTTATGTCTTTGTAGTAAATTAGTGGAGCATCATAAACCAAGAGGCACGCACTTTATAGGTGTAAGACGTACAGCAAAGGGTTTTAAATTCTTGGTGAATTGTAATGGTGTACGTTATACGCATTCATTTTTTGCACACGACGTAGATGCCGTATTGGCTAGAACGTATTTCAGTTGTAACAAACTTCGTGAACATAAAAATTACATTCTTGATATAACAAACTTACATTCTTGATATAACAAACGAGGTTCTAGATGATAGCGGTGGCCTTATTGCGCAGCTAGAGCTTGACGAAAATTTAAAGGACGATAATATAGAAGCAGTACCGGTAAAACAAAACAAGGATCAGTATACGGAGAAGTTTTTGCAGAAATGCAAAGTTGGACCCGATTTTCCGTGCCCGTCATGTTGAACAATGTGTTTTCAACAAAACATGGCAAAGGCGAAGCTGGGAAATGCGGAACAAATAGTGTGTCAAGGTTGTGCATGTTGCATTAGGAAAGGAAAATACAATGACGGAAATAAGTGGGCTTATTAATCCACTGCAGTACATAGACTTAGTGATTTTGGCCGGATATGTTGTCATAACCCAACCATAACATATTGCATACTGTGCCCCTTGACGTCACTTACTCAATGCACTTGGGTGTTGTAACTTTTATTGAGTTTATTGTAAAGAGTACAATAATAAGCATTCGTTACTCGATGCGGACACTTTAGGCCAACTTCGCGTCCAGATCTATTTCATGCCTGCATTACGCGACCTCGAAACCTACGCTGCCATTTTTCTCTCGATAGTCCAGCGGCAACTAAGCCAAGCCCCCAGCGACGATGCGACCGCTTCTTTCGAGCCAGAAAGATAGGATCGCGACACTTATTCGACAGGGCCAGAGTATTCGACAAATCGCTAAAGCATTAGGAATAGGAAAAAGCACGGTACATAAATATGCTCACGAAGCCTCCCAGCGCTCGAGCAGCCTAGCGGTCAGGCCGAATGTTCCTAGGAACGGCCGACTGTGCGTACTCTCGGTTCGTGATAGGTGCTCTCTGGTCTAAGCCGTCACTTCTGGCCGAGCGAATACTAGCATAGAAGCCGCGAAACTTCTAGAATCGGAGCGCGGCATCAAGATATGCCCTAGAACCGTGCGCAACGCCCTGAAGAACTCCGGTTTAGTAGCCGTGCAGAAACCGAAGAAGCTGCGACTTTCTGCCCGAAAAATCAGAGACCGACTCGATTTCGCCAAGGCGCATCTTGACAAGACCATTGAAGACTGGAAGCGGGTTATCTGGTCCGACGAGACCAAGATCAACCGCTTTTCCAGTGATGGCCGCAAGTACTCGTGGATACGCGACGGGGCGGCCCTGCAACGTCACCACATTCAGCAAACCGTCAAGCATAGGGGCGGGTCATTGATGGTATGGGGATGCATGATTTATGATGGCCCGGGCTATATGTGAAAGATTGACGGCCGCATGGATGGGGAGCTGTACAGAAGCATTTTACATGATGAGCTTGCTCAAACTATCGATTTCTATAGTCTAACCCCCTCGGATGTAATTTTCCAACATGACAACGACCCCAAGCACAAGAGCCGCCTTGTGCAAGCATAGCTGGCTGAGCAGCCGTATGCAGTCTGGCGATGGCCTCGCGAACTTCGCGAATGGATTCTAGTAGCATCCTTGCTGCTGCGAGACGTGACTAGCACGTCCGTCAATTTCTTGACGAGACCTTGGCCAATCACGTCGCTTCTTTTCAGCCTGTAATCGCGCATCGTTTGAACCCGAGCGCGTGTCGGGTGAAAGCGTAAGGTGAAAGTGTCAGGTGAGGTAATGTACTATATTATTACGACATCCTAGCTCACTCATCAGTCGTTAGGTCCGTGCTACCCTATCAGGTTTCCGCTTGTGCCTGGCACTCCAGTTCCCTCTCCCTGCACCCCCAAGCGCCGCCCGTGCCGTTGGCTGTGTAACAACAACGTGGTGAACCAGCTGTGTCGGTTCAACCGGGTGTGTGCGGATGACAAGGTGTGCATCCCCTATGTGAGCAGCTGCGAGGGATACAAGTGCATGAAGCTGTTTCAGTTGAGGCATTAGATGTGTTGGCTTGCCTATTTGGAAAGTGTGCGGATTAGAAGAATGCTGTGTGCATCCCCTTAGTGTGCCGAGCGCATGCAATACGTGCATGGAGTATATTAGTGGCCTTGTATGCCTATCAAGGCAGGGCGTGCACTGTGCAATCCCTTTGTGCGCAGCTGCAAGGGTTGTCTTGTTTTAGATCTTTTCCCCGAAGGGCATGGCCCATGTGTTGAGGAAACACCTATGTATGTTTCTTGTGTCGAAATAAATCGTTGCATCATTCCACTATAGAGATAAATATATACATAGGCTAATGATAACGTTTTTTTGCACAATTACTTTTCTTTTTTGGCTTTGGCCATTGTTTCCTTAACTCTTTCATTATGGCACATTATCTACATTTGATACATCACATGCTTACAGCTGGAAAGAACAGATTCCAAAACTCCCATTTCGCGCCTGTCACTTCGTGTTTTCGCTATCGCCAGCTCCCGCCGTACCGGTATTCACGAAGACCTGCGTGGACCACAGCGACGACACGTGTCCGGTAACGCTTCCCAACTCCAACAATCTGGAAGTTCAAGATCCACTTCCCAGCCTTCACGAGCGACGCCCTCATTCCTTTCCCCCCCGTCTTCCCTTCTGAGATGGCCGGCAGTCAGAGTTGCGGGATGAGAGAAGCGGGCGGAGAGCTAGAGTTGCGCAACCCCCCAGTGTTGTGCGAATCGGCCCTATTACGCCTTCGCCTACAATCAGAGGGCTCCTCGCGAGTCATTCTCCGGGCAAATGTATCTTCGCCAGTATCGTAACCTTTTGATGGATTTCGCAAGCCCAACTCTAGGCACCACGCCCCTGCAGTATTTGTCTGGTTGCCTCCGTCTATCCCTGTGCTCCAGGCAATCTCTCCTGTCTTTTACACCTGTTCTCCTATAAGTCTCACGGTTTTTGCACACGACTCAAGCCTGTAAGCAGGAAATTGTAAAACACGGGCAAACGGGACTTTGAAGGGGAAATCCCACAGTAAGCAATGACACTTGGTTACAAAGTCTCGCTCATGCACTAGATTGGTTGCCTGCGCGACGTTCCAGCTCTGAATCTCGCAATTGCTGAAATACAACTTGGTAGTTCGTTATCGTTCAGACTACAGCCAATCAGGTTCAGTGTCAACGCGAGTCATGCTGAGAACCTGGTAGGTAAGATTACAATTTGGACTGTTCGGGGTGAGACCATAGAGGGAAAAAGGTGTACTTGTAATTCCCTTCTACAGTTACTAGCCTCACTGTGTCGTGGCCAGTCGGATGGAGTCGAGTCGAGACAGTCTAGCGGGAAATGGTCTCTTATCCCAGAGATGGAGATGGCCGCAAGTTAGGAAAGAGTCTTTCCTGGGCATTGCAAGTGTAACGGATACAGCAATGGTCGGTTTTCTGGTACTGTACGGGCAATGCTACTGAACGTAGGCATGCGTGTGTAAGAGCAGCAGCCATGGTCGGTTCGTCGGATTCTGCTACTCCCGAGTCCCGACTGCGCGAGCCGTTTCAAGCCTCTCAGGTGGTCACAGTTGACAGATGACAGATGACAGATTCTGGCGATTTGAGCTAGTTATTCTCAATTCTAAGACCCTAAAATCCAGCTCGAGTGACAGATGACACATTCTGGCGATTCCTGGTCACCCGTCCGTCTTCGGTTATTCGGCTACAGTATTAGGTCATAGGGACTAAGGATTAGGGGTAATTCGGCTATCCGTTCCCAATACTACTGTACCCAAAGTATTTTGAGTCGACTCAAAGTACCCAAAGAAAGATCGAGAGAGGATGCAGCTCAAATGGGGCAGGAAGTGTCGAATGGAAGGTAGGGTTCAGCAGTAAGGGTGGGGGGGGGGTCAGCTGAATCCCACGCTCCAGGTCGCTGGTTAGGCGTCGTGCTTTCGCGTCGTACGCCGTGTATTAGGTCTGCGTTGAGAATTCTAAAAAATACCGTACGTGTACGTGTAGTTCCGCAGATTGCCGTTACAGCTGACATGGAGCGTGGCTGTTGCGTTACGTTTCAGTCCACTCTTGGCGTTACGTTACAGTCCCACTGTCATGTCCAACAGCCAAGAGCGAAAGTCGCACGATTGGGACATGGGATACAGCAGCGCTGCCCCCGCTGTTGCTTGCCTTCTTACATACTCGCTGCTAGTTCGCTGCTAGTTCGCTGCTAGTTCAGCGTACTGCCAAATTTTCCACACGAGAAGATTGTCGTAATATTACCTGAGTGTGCTTGACGTGACCGCCCAGCCAATAGGGGAGATGGCCTGCCGAAGAGGCGACTGCTTGGCGAAAAGGGGATGGCCTCGCGAACTTCGCGAATGGATTCTAGTAGCATCCTTGCTGCTGCGAGACGTGACTGGCCCGTCCGTCAATTTCTTGACGAGACCTTGGCCAATCACGTCGCTTCTTTTCAGCCTGTAATCGCGCATTGTCTTAACCCGAGGTGAAAGCGTCAGGTGAAAGCGTCAAGTGAGATAATGGACTATATTATTACGACATCCTGGCACACGAAGCAGATAATAGGCTAGTGCTACCCTCTCAAGTACGCGCACCATCTCCACCCTCGCCCGCACTGAATTGGTATAGTTTATTTGAAGTAACTTCACAAGATTTCGAGTCTCGGCACCACAGCCAGAGCTCGGGCTTAAGCGCTGCTGCTCAGGCGCGAACGGCCGTGGCTTCTACGTCTCTCGCCTTGTCTCCTCCCACGGTGATGGCGATGGCAGGAGGAGGCAAAGGAATCTGTGCGACAGCCGTTCTTCTCGCCGTGCTCGTCCTTCCCACTGGTTCGTGAAACCCCGTTTTCCGTGATTCGGCGATTTCGTCCGCCTGTGTCTTGATTCCCATGTCCACCGTATCTCCTCCTAAGGCGATGGCGGGAGGAGGCAAAGCAATCTGTGCGAGTGCCGTTCTTCTCGTCGTGCTCATCCTCCCAACAGGCTCGTGAATCTCCATGTGTTGTGCCAAAACTCCCCTTGTGTCGAGGTTTGAGGCGCTTCAAATATCCCCTTGTATTGCTGACTCCTACAGGAAGCGAGCCTTTTCTGGCAACGTCTGCCTGCTTCCCTCTTCCTCCCTCGCCTCCTGACTCCTCCTTTCTGCCCCCTCTCTGCAGTCTACGCATTGGTGCCCTCTCTTTTTGGTCCACTTCGTCTCCCCTCTTCCTCTTCTTCCTCTCTTCTTATATACCCTAGGCTTTTCCAGGCCTTGCTGCTATCTAGTGGAGCGGCCAGACCGGAGGCTACTAGGAACGTGTGCTTGTGTCGTGTATAACCGTTGTCCTGCACCTCCCTGTTTCGCCCCAAACCCTCTCCGTGTGCTGTGTTAACAGTCGTCGCACAACCTGCACCAGGTGCAGCTCCGCCTCCCCCTGGTGCATTAGCATCGCCGCCCCCCCCTGGTGCATTAGCATCTCCGCCGCCCCCTGGTGCATTAGCATCTCCACCCCCCCCTGGTGGATTAGCATCTCCGCCCCCCCCTGGTACATTAGCATCTCCGCCCCCCCCTGGTGCATTAGCATCTCCGCCTCCCCCTGGTGCGTTAGCATTTCCGCCCCCCCCTGGTGCATTAGCATCTCCTCCTCCCCCAGGTACAGTACCCTCCCCACCTCTCCCGTCCCTGCCTTCCCCATCCCCACCTCCCCCATCCCCACCTCCCCCATCCCCACCTCCCCCATCTCCGCCTCTCGCTTCTCCACCTCCCCCAGACACAGCCTCCCCGCCCCCCCCAGAGGTAGTCTCCCCCCCTCACCCCCCTGCTCCTGGCACACCAGCACCCTCTCCCTGCACCCCCAAACGTCGCCCGTGCCCTTGGCTGTGTGACAACAACGGGGTGAACCAGCCATGCCGGTTCAACCGGGTGTGTGCGGACGATGAGGTGTGCATCCCCTTTGTTAGCAGCTGCGAGGGTTACAAGTGCATGAAGCTGTTTGGACAGCATAAATGAGTTTGCCTAATGAAAAGTAGAGTGTGTGTGTGGAAGACAAACTCTGCATCCTTTTGTGAGCAGCTGTGAGGGCTACAAGCATCTGACACTGTTAAAAGTAGGGTGTGTGTGGGGAAGATGCGCATCTCTTTGAGGGTAGTAGCGGCTTTGTACGCTGATGAATGCGGGGTGTGCACTCTAAGGTAGGGCCTATGTGTTCATGATTAATATTTTATTTAGGGGCCTTGGATGGTTTTATCAAACATGTGTATTTGTTATGTTTGTATAGACTGTATAGGGTTGCCTCTTAGAGGGTACAACATTGAGGTAAATCTGTGTGTACTCTCATTCTATCCACCATTCACTTCTCTAATTCTGATATGATATCAGAATGGGGTCGCTGAGCGACGCATCAGTTTGGTCATGCAGGTAGTTCGCACCTCCATGATCCATGCCAGTGCACCCCATTTTCTGTGGCCGTTTGCTGTGCGCTACGCCTCTCACCAGCTTATCTTGTGGCCGCACCCTCAGCAGCCGCAGGTTTCGCCGAACCCGTCTTTGGACTGGGTCTCCTGGTGACGCGTCTGCGTTCCACGTCTGGAGCTACCTTGCTCACGTCCGTGCCTCCGGCACGGACAAGCTCACTGCCCGCACCCTTCCCTGCGTCTTCCTCGGTTTTCCCCTTGACGCGTCCGACTGGCACTTTTACCACCCGCCGTCTCACCGCTTCTTTCACTCTCGTGACGTCACCTTTGACGAGTCCGTCTCCTACTACCGTCGCTTCCCCCACCGTGGTCCCCCGGTTACCCCCCCCCTGTTCCTGGTCACTCCTTCCCCGGTAGTCCCTGCCCCTCCTCCTCCTCCTCCCCGTCCCGCCCCCTCTGGTGTGTCCCACGTCACCCATCTTCCGTCGGTGGACCCGGTTGAGGAGTCTTCTGACTCTGGTGGCCCTCCTGTTTAGTCCTCGCCGGCCGCCCCTCCCCTGGCGTCCCCTCCCCAGTTCCCCCCTCCACCGCCTCTGCCGCAGGGCTTATCTTTGACTTTTCTGAACTCTGATTTTCACCAGTAGCTCATGGGCTAACTCTGAAATCCAGGGTGCCCTGGACCGGAACTCTGATTTGCCAGGGTTTTTGTGCCTTATCAGAAAAAAAACCCTGTCCGCCTAGAATTTGGAAGAGATCTAGAATTTGCCCAGCAAAAAGTATTGTCTCACATCCACATGGCACGGTAACAGAGCAGCATCTCATCAATCATCATCATCATCATCATCATCCTCATATGAACCCTCACTAGCTGCAATCTCCTCATCCGAAACCTCGGCTGCACTCTTGCCTTTGTCGAGGGGAGTCTCATAGGCCACTGTCTTAGCCTGCTTTCGCATCTTCTGTTTCCTCCAGATGTCAACGATCTCGGCGTAGTCCATGTCGTAGTCCAGCATGTTGATCGTCATGAGTTCGCTCAGCCTTGCATCGCACAAGCTCGTCCGCAGCCACGACTTGATCACGTTCTGTCTGCTGAATCCTCTTTCACACTCCACTGTGCTCAGTGGAAGCACAGCCATGGCCTGCCACAATGCCATCAGGTTGGGATAGCTCTTAGGCCAGTCGCGGGTCTTGAGCATGGCAGCCAGCCCCTGGTTGAAGTCATCATCCGCCCGGTGGTTCTTCATGATGTGAACAAAGGTCTTGAGCTCCAGCTCGGCCGCCCTTTGGTTCACTCCTGGAATTGGGGTTTGGTTGGAATAGAAGCAGAGGACAACGGTTTAGTATCCATCCTAGGGCAAGGCAAACTGACATTTAACAACGAATGATACGGTTGTGTTAACGGAACTACTGACTTACCTGGCAGCTTGTGGTCGAAGAGGGCGACGTTGGATGCGAGCCAGGAGAGATGTCGCCGCTCGCGCACTTCTGCCTTCTTCGGCCAGCACTCAACTTTGAACAGTCCCGCGCCGCCCATCCGCTTCAGATCCCACAGCCTCTACTCCACATTCGCCACCATGTCTTTGGCGAACGCAGAGCAAAGGTCCTCACAGTCCGACATGCTGCCGCCGAACTTGTGGCCGGGTAGCTTTTCCTCCGAGAGTTCGAATGCGTGCGTGCAGGGACTTCCGTCGTTGTCCATGCCATCGACGACGATGCTGCGCTTGCCGCTGGCATGCCGCTGCAGGAACTTGGTCAGCCTCTTGCTCATCCCCCCCCCGAATGTCGCACCGTACTCGATGTAACGGTGCCGGATGTAGGTGACCGTGCGGTCAACCTCCTGGGACACCAGGGTGATGTCCACCTGACGGAAGGGGCATAGGGCAGGCGGAGGTACAAAATGCAAGGAATTAAACTCACGCACATGACTACCAAGTTAAACACATAGCAAGACTGTGCAACAGTGCAACGAGATACGCCAAACAAAAGTACGTCCCGTTAAAACCACCACTTACAGAGCGCCTCTGAAAGAACCTGTTGAGGGTGTTCATCTCGGCGAGGACGTCAGCGAGGAAGTACAGGCAGTAGTGAAATTTCAGCGTCTTCACAACCGGTGCCAGCTTGTGGTTGTACTCGATGAGGACAACGATCGCCGCTCCGAGAATGCTGCAGAGCCTCTTGATTGCATCGCCACGTGAGAGCCACCGGATAAGGTAGAGTCCTTGATGCTCCAGGTTGGTGTTGTGGATGACCATCTGCAGGTGCTTGAAGCGCTCATACCATGGGGTGGAACGGCCAACAATCTCCCCCAATGCGCGGATGACGGCATCGATGATCTTGAAGTCCGGGAAGGCCGCGGCAGCATCCTTGACAGCCAGGGACTCTCTGCCAACAAAAACAAAACAGAGAGCATCAGCAACTTGACAAGATTTACCTGGAAGGGGCATGTAGCTATGCACGCATGAGCCATTAAAAGCACGTATGGGTGCAACAAACAAACAGCACCTATGGGCGATGCAATGGACGCCCACGAGGTGCGGGATGCGCATTCGTAAGCGAGCCACCAAGCCATGATGCTCGCCTGTCATCACAGAAGCCCCATCCGTACTGTTGCCAGAGATCTTCTGGAGATCGACGCCGAGGGTCTCGAGGTGGGAGAGGATGATCGCCTGCAGAGAAGCCGCGTCGCACTTGTCCACGGTCAGCAAAGCTAGGAACTCGGTGACCACTTTCCGCTTCTTCATAAATGTTGCAAACAGGATCAAGTGCTTCCCCCGCGTTCTGTCGGTGCTTTCGTCACAACTGAGGCCGATGAATGGAGATGCGTGAATATGCGACATCTGTTGCGCCTGCAAGAAAGCCACCATGGCTTTCACCATCTCCTTGAAGCCGTACCTGAATGGGAGTGAGAAAGGCATGCACACAACACTGGTGTTAGTAGTTGGTTAAAGAGGATCACAAAATCCAAAGGTTATAGGAAAACCCGAAAGAGAAGCAGTACAAGGGGATTAATAAACTTACTGTGTTATGTAGACACCGTAGCTCTGCTTAGGAACGTCCTTCACCCCTTCATGCGCCATGAAGCCCACGAGGCGGGTGAACATGCTGATGGGCGCATCTTCCTTGCAGATGAATAACATGGCGCGGAGTAGCCGAATTATGCGCGCTCCCTCTGGGTCATTCGCAACAAAGTCTTCCATCCTCTTCTGGTTCTCCACTTCTGTCAGCAGGTGTTGTTGCTTCCTCACCGCGTCTTCATGCTTCTGACTCTCCTGGTGCCAGCGCATCGAGCCGACTTGCAGATCCCGACCGCCACTGCCTCACGCCCGTATCTTGCATGCACTGCACCATGCTCCATGCAAACACCGCAACGCAAGCACGGGATTCCGTCGCCATTTTTATCAAGGACCAGCCATGGGAATTTCGGGAGCCAATCATTGGTGTACTTATGTTGTGCCTTTTCGTATGCCCTCGCCGTCTTCTCCGCAACTGTCGGTTTCGCTGACGGTGCAGTGACACGCTCCGGCGGTGGCGGAGTGGGGGGCTTAGGAGGAGGCGGTGCAAATGGCAGGTGTGATTGCTCATAGCGGCGCCTCTTTTTCGACGTCACGGCGACCGATGTAGTCGTGGCGGGAGGAGTAGCAGCAGGGGTTGATGTGGCGGGACGAGTGGCAGCTGGGGTTGATGTGGCGGGACGAGTGGCAGCTGGGGTTGTCGTGGCGGGACGAGTGGCAGGCGGGGCCTTGGATGGCGAGTCAACCAGCTCAGTCACATCGTCCTGATTGCGCTCCCACTCTTCACTGCTGAGAGATGGGAGGGGGTTCGAGTACACAGGAGCGGCATGTGCACGACGAAGGAAATCGAGGCCTCTGAGGGGAGCAACCCTAACAAAACGCTCAGCGCTATGGTCGTCCTCCCCCTCATCGTCCTCGTCATCAGAACTACACATGACGGGCTCTGGTGGGAAAGTGGCTGCAAACAGGACTACCCCAGGGGAGATTGATACGCTCTGGTAGTTGTGAGAGGGGTACTCTCTCTTGCGTGGAGCAAGAGAGAGTTGGAGGGGAACTCGGTTTCCTGCAGCAAGCAGCAGAATGGATGAACGAAGGGAGGGACAAGCTGGTCTTGACTTGAGGTGATCGACAATGCGCTACTAGCTGTATGGTGCATGCGTGAGTAGCATCATTGCTACCCGCAGCCTAGCGTGCTGTCGATGTGCTGGCTGCTGTACCAAGCCAGGAAATGCCTAAGGCATGCAGCAATCATCCAGCGGTGACAACTTCAGCTGCCGCACGCGGTTGTGCTGCTGATGCCTTGCGAGAAAATGCCCAAGTGTCCAACGGGCACCGAGGAATCTTCCAGCGGCAGGAAGTTTGGCAGCAAATGGCGAACAGTCAGCGGGCGGCTCGCGTGAAACCACCCAGGAATCCAGGCCACGCGTATGTGTGTCTATAGGGAGTACAGGTAATATCCGGGGGTATGCCCCCTATATCAATACCCACAGGGTGGTACATACACCAACTCTGATAAATCAGAGAAAAGAGAACTTTCAAAAAAATTACCCAGGACCATCAGAGTGACTTCCAAAAACAACTCTGATTTTCAGAGAAACAGAGTGATTTACTCTGATAAAATAAGCCCTGCTCTGCCGCCGCTGCAGCCGTCGATGTCGCTGCCGCCGCCGCCGCCGCCGCCGTCGCAGCACCCGTTCGCTGACTCTGGGGTTGCTCGTCCCGGTAGCCCTGGGGGTGGTCCCTCTGGGGGTGCTGGTGTGGAGGGTGCCGGTGGTAGCCGAGGAGCAGCTTGCGGTCCAGGTGTCGCCGTTGTGCCGCCACAGCAGCAGTCCCCGCCGGTGTTAGCCCTTCGCCTGCTCGGCCTTCCGTCCCCCGACCCTGCGTCGGTTCCTCCCCGACCGTCTCCTCCTCTTCCTGTCTACGGCCCTGTCTTCCCTCCGCCGGACTCGTCCCCGGCCCGTCTCCCCCCTCGTTCCCCTCCTGTGTCCCCTCCTCTGTCTCCTGACCCGACTCCTCCGTCGCACGTCTGGTCTCACCGTCCCTCCCGTGCTCGTCCTGCCTCGCCTGTCTTGCGCTCCCACCCTATGTTGCTTCGTTCCCACGCGTCTCGTCCTCCCCTTCTGCCGTCGCCTCCTCCGTCCTCCCTTGTTGTTGCACCCCCCCCGCTGTCTGACTACCTTCGTGCCGCTCGTCCCCTTGTTCCTCGGGTCCTTGCCTCTCTCGTTACCGACCCGTCTGTTCCGGCCTCGTGCCTTGATGCTCTTGTCGCTGCTGTCGCTGACTTCGCCTCTACCCGCCGCCTTGACTACGCCACCGCTCTGGTCTCTGACCCTGCCTGTCCTCCGTCTGTCGGGGGTGCTCCTGCCCTTGGCAGTGACGTCCTGGAGGACCGCCAGTTCGAGCTTGCTTTCCTGTCCGAGGCTGCTCCCCATCTCTGTTCCATGCTGCTAGTCCCTGAGGGTGACCCAAACGCTTTCGACATCCCGACCCCTCGCACTTACGCTAAGGCGACTTCGGGACCCTGGGCCTCGCAGTGGATAGCTGCCATGGAGCAGGAGATGGCATCTTGGAGATCCACCGGCACCTTCGTCGATGCCGTTCCCCCACCTGGGGTGAACGTAGTCGATAGCCGCTGGCTCTTCAAGGTGAAGCTCCCTCCTGGAGAGCCGCTTGTCTTCAAGGCTCGCTATGTGGCTAGAGGCTTCAGTCAGCGCGAGGGGGTGGACTTCTTCCAGACCTTCGCTCCGACCCCGAAGATGACTACTCTTTGGGTTCTGTTACACCTAGCTGCTCAGCGTGACTACGAGCTTCACTCCCTCGACTTCTCCACTGCCTTCCTTCAAGGCAGCCTACACGAGCAGGTCTACCTGCGTCGCCCTCAGGGCTTCACTGGCACCTTCCCTCCTGGGACCCAGTGGCTCCTGCGGCGCCCCGTCTATGGCCTGCGCCAGGCTCCCCGTGAGTGGCACGACACTCTCCGTGCTACGCTTGCTGACCTGCAGTTCTTTCCGTCTTCCGCAAACCCTTCACTCTTCGTTCGTACTGGCCAGACTCCGTTCTACATCCTTGTTTACGTCGACAACCTGGTCTTTGCCACAGCAGACAGGGACGCACTGGCCTCCGTGAAGGCAGAGCTGCTGAAGAGACACACGTGCACTGACCTTGGAGAACTGCGCCGTTACCTTGGCTTGCAAATCTCCAGGGACAGAGCTGCGCGCACCATCACCCTGACTCAGTCACACTTGGTGCGCCAGGTCCTTCAGAGGTTCAGCCTTCAGTTCTCCTCTGCACAGCCCACCCCTCTGCCTGTAGACCACAGACTCTCCGCTCCAGTGTCTGAGGAGTTGGTAGAGCCCAGCGGCCCCTACGCAGAGCTGGTGGGTTGCCTCATGTACCTGATGACTTGCACTCGCCCAGATCTCGCATACCCTCTCAGCATCCTGGCTCGCTTCGTGGCCACAGGCAGAGACCGACCGCAACACTGGTCTGCCGCTAAGAGGGTTTTGTGTGTAATGAATGAACAGATGGAGTAGCGCGAAAATGAATAACGAAATGTTCACTCAATGCATGATATAAGGAATGGCAAGCCAAGATATAGGAACATCAGAGCTAGTCCAATCATGCGAGGGGAAGATTCGGGAAAGAGATCGAAGGGTCTCGAAGTGACGAAGCAAGCACCGGACGACGCCCGAAGGTCAAACTGGAAGTTTTGGAGAAGCCGAGGCGATTCTGTCAGGAGGTCTGGTACAGTCCCGAGGCTTCGGGTAAGTTCGAGCGTACACGATAGCAGTACCGCTCGGTAAGGAACAGAAAATTCCTTACACCACCCCCCCCCCCTTAGCGAAGGTGATCTATATCAGCCACATGCTTGCGGGCCAAGTAATTCGCAAGTATCGAAGGTGACTGTATCTGGTCCGAGGGCACCCACGTGTCGTCCTCACTGGTACGATTGGTCCATCGTATCAGAAAGTCAACGTGTCGTCCTTGGCCGTCGATACGAATCTGATGGCTCAAGATCTTCGAAGGCTCGATGGTCATCTCTGCTGGTGGCCGTACATATGGGATCAAGCGCTGTTGGGCAATATCCGATGTGTCAGGTACGAAAGGTCGCAATAGTTTCACGTGGAACTTGTTGTGAATACGCCAATCATCGGGTAGGCGTAACTGGGTGGTCACCGGCGTCACCATCTTCATGATCTTGAATGGGCCACAGAAACGTGGTTGTAATTTTGTTGGTAGTGGCAGTCGTAAATTCTTGGTGTCCAACAGGACTAGTTGCCCTGCTGTCATAGTAATATCCCGTCGATGTAAATCCACATACCGTCGGGCAGTTGCGTTCGCCTTGCGAATAAGTTCGACAGCTTTGTCTCGGGCAGTCTGTAATTCTTCGACGAACTGCTGCGATCGTGGTACTTGACTCTCAACGTTGGTGGAGACTGGTACTGTAGGGTCCATCCCGTAATTGAGATAAAACAGGGAGTGATTAGTCGTAGCCGTGGGCTCGTTGTTGTAGGAAAATTCCAACATGGGCAGCACGTCCTCCCATTGTTTTCAGTCGGGGCAGTTTGTCCGAATGAGCAGCTCCATCGTTTGATTCGTCCTTTCCGTCTGGCCGTCCGTTTGGGGATGATAAGCGGATGAGAACTGTAGATGCGTGCCGTACCGAGCCCACGTGTCCTGCCAGAATTTTGACGTGAACTTCGGATCTCGATCGCTAATGATTGCTGCTGGTATCCCGTGTAGACGAACAACGGTCGAGATGAACAGGCGCGCTGTTTCTTCGGCTGTGATGGTTGTATGACATGGTGCGAAATGCGTCATTTTCGTCAATCGGTCGACGACAACCAAAACCGCGTCGTTTCCGCTGGGTCCGGCCGGTAGTCCTATAACGAAATCCATCGTTACGTGTTGCCATGGGCGTTGAGGTGGCTCGAGGGGCTGCAACAGTCCTGTAGGTCGCTGGTGTGATGACTTCATTCGCTGGCAGATCAGACACGCGGCCACGTAACGCTGCACGACCGTCACCATATCTGGCCAGTAATAAAACCGCTGCAACGCCTTCAAAGTTTTGTCAACCCCGAAATGTCCCGATAAATTCGAATCGTTGACTTCTTGAATTAGTAATTCGCGAAGTAAACGATAACTTAGGACCCAAAATTCGATCAGTCCCGCTTCGTAACTAGTAGACGCCTTTCCGTGTAGTGATGGGGAGATGGCCGTCATTTACGAAAGGGGTCAGTCGAATACCCGTGGGTAAATAGTCCACTCAGTAGCGGGTTGCTCTGGGCGACTAGTACTGCTGCGAGTTGGGCAGACAGTCTGGAGAGGACGTCAGCAATATTGTTGGCGCCTTTTTTGTACGTGATCTTGTACGTGAAATTGGACTCCAGATAGTCCAGCCAGCGTATCTGCCGCGGGTTGAGATTCGGCTGTGCTCTCAGATACTGTAGTGATTTGTGGTCGGTTCGCACTGCACGTCTGCTCCAGTCAGGTAGCACCTCCAGATTTTGAACGCGTGGACGATCGCCAGCATCTCCTTGTCGTGTACCGGGTAGTTGCGCTCAGTAGATTGCATTTTCCGAGATTCGTACGCAATTGGTTGAAGCCCATTGCCGAAATCCTACATGAGCACTACTCTGATGGCGATGTCACTTGCGTCGGTGATGACTTCGAAGGGCCGTTCTGGGTCAGCGATGCGAAGTACCGGTGGAGACATTATAATGTTTTTTAATGCCTTGAACGCAGCTTGCTGCTTCTCCCCCCACTCGTAAAAATTCCCCTTCTGCAGTAGGTCGGTTAGAGGTCCAATTAACCCCACCATGTTGGGTATAAACCGCCTGACGTAATTCACGAAACCCAAAAATGATTGCAGCTGCTGCAGATTCGTTGGTGGTTTCCATTCCTGAATAGCCCCGAGTTTTTTCGGGTCTATCCGGATCCCCTCCGTGGAGATCACATGCCCTAGGAACTCCAGTTCTTGTTTTAAAAACTCGCACTTGGAGCCCTTGGTGATGAGACGATGCTGCTGCAACCGCTGAAAAACCGCGTCCAAATCTTTTAAATGCTGCTCCCGGGTCTTGCTGTAGATCAGGATGTCGTCCAGGTAAATTATTACGCATTTGTCGAGTAAATCACGGAACACCCCATTCATGGTGATTTGGAACGTCGAGGGGGCGTTCGTTAATCCAAACGGCATCACCGTGTATTCGTAACTCTCGTAGCGAGTACGAAACGCGGTCTTGTGGCAGTCGTCAGCGAACACCCGAATTTGATGGTAACTGCCACGAAGGTCGATCTTCGAAAAGTAATGACCTCCGCGAAGGATGTTGATCAGTTCGTCCGTGCGTGGGATTGGGTAGCGCGATTTTATCATTACCCGATTAAGGGCACGATAATCCGTACACATGCGAAATCCGCCGTGCTTTTTTGGCGTGAACAGGATCGGTGCTGCGAACGATGACGTGCTCGGCCGAATGAACCCTTTCGCCAGCAGGTAGTCTAACTCGTTTCGTAACTCTTGTAGCTCCGGCTGAGTCAGGCGCCATTGCGTGCGTACAGTAGGCTGCGCGCCGGGCTCCAGCTCAATTTTGTGGTCCTGGGGTCGTTCAGGTGGCAGGCCACTTGGCAAATCGCCCGGGAAAATTTCTGGATATTCCGTAATGATTTTCGCCAAGTCATCGGGAACCGCAGCGCAGAGTTTATTGATGTCGGTCGCCTCGTTCTGCTCCGCCGATTCGGTTAGATGGACGGCGTATAACTCCGCTCCATTCTTGACCGCTCGGTTGAGGCACACCGTGTTGACTCGTGTCGACGTTGTCTCTGCTTCCGGCCACGTAGGTAATTTTCGCCAACCTTTGTCGCACTTCACTGTGCACTCGCCTGTCGTCTAATCGATCTGCGGGTTGAATCTCCGCAGCCAATCGCGTCCCAATAGCACGTCGTAGCCATCGAGAGTTGTCGCCAGCATCGGCGCGCTGAAACCAAAATCTTCGCCACACTTCATTCGAACGACGGGAACTCTGTCGCGTATCGCCAGCGGGGTGCCATCCACCAATCGCGCGTTGATTTCGGGCAGACACCTCTGCAGCGTCAGGTGTAGTCGTCGTGCTGTCTCCCGATTTATCAGGCTGTGACTCGCACCTCCGTCAATGAATATTTTTATTTTTCTTCCGTTGAGTCGTCCCTCCGCCAGTACAGGGTGGTCCACTGGGTCATCCTCCTTTTTCAGCCGGGAGCGGTTGATAGCATATATCGGAACCACTACTCGGTGGGGATGGTGTTTTTCGGGCGATGAGGCAGGGTCAGTAGGGGGCCCGACCGCTACTGACGCTTGGCGTTTCCCGACCCGCCTTCGTCGTTCTTCTTTATCTGCTTTTTTCGGGGGCAATCGTGAGATTGGTGACCTGGCTGATGGCAGTTGAAACATTGTCCCTTGCGAAAATCTTCCATGTGCTCCTTCGCCACTACGCCGTGAATCGTGGGCCGTGGATTCTGGCCACAAAAACGATTTCCCTCCCGGGAACCCGCTCTCGCATACGTCCGATGTGCGTCGAAAGTATCTGCGATCCGGACTGCTTCGTGAAACATCGTCGGAAGTTGCAGTCGGACCTCGCATTTAATGTCCTGCTTCAAACTCGAAGTGAATCGAGCTTTCTTCTCGGAGTCATGCATGTCGGTGATTTGATCGCATAACGCCATGAAGACCGACGCGTAATCCTGGACAGAACTCCACTGGCGCCAGTTGTCCAGCTTCGTGCGTGCGTTGTCCGAGGCGGATATTGGCTTGAACCGTTCACGCAGAGCTGTACCCCATGCCTTCAACGTGCGAATCTTGGTCGATCCAAAGATCGCGGTTGACCCTTGGGCAGCAGACCCAAAGTTTTCGAAAAACCCCAGTGTGTCGCGTGCCGAAAACTCCCCCTCCTGTAGAGTATATCGCCACCAATCTAGCGCAGGTCCCCGCAGTAGTGATACAGCCAGTCGATTTTTTAAATCGTCAGCAGTGATCCCGGCGGCATTAAAATAAAGTTATGCCGAAAATAACCAGCCCGTAACAGTAGTATTCTTATCTGTGGCGTTGAACGGGGGCGGCATTGTCGGTTTGATCGTCGCTGTCGTCACGATCGGCATAAACGCCGGTGCGGCTACAGTAGCGGCTGCTTTTGACCGAGCGGCTGCTGCTGTCGCTGCTGCTGCTGCTGCTTCGGCTGCTGCTCGTGCTGCCACGTCAGCTGCTGCGGCGGCTTCACTGTCCTTGCACTCTTGTGACACCTCACGTGCGATTTCGTCCAAGACGGTTTCGACACGTCCGATGCTGGCGACCTCCTCGTGGGCGGCAGATTTCTGACGCGAATCCTCTCGCGCCTGGCGTAACTCAGCAACTTCTGCACGAAGTCGCTCGTTGTCCTCCAGCACTGTAGCCATGCGCGTGTTCATGGCGTTGAACTGCTCCCGAAGCTCGTTGAACTGAGCTTGGTCCATTTGGTGAATGCTCCGCCGAGGCAGGGGGAAATCCATAATGTGCCTGTACTCAGGTAAGCGCAAACGCTATCGTATTTGGGCGAATTAATCAGTCTAATTCGCGAGCAACCGCTTTGCAACTTACGTGAGGGACTTACCCCCCCAAAAAAAAAATCAACTCTCGAAAACGGGTGAGCAAGGAAAGTGGCTCTGATTACCAGGTGTTATGAATGAACAAGCAGAGTAGCGCGGAAATGAATAACGAAATGTTCACTCAATGAATGACGATACAAGGAATGGCAAGCCAAGATATAGGAACACCGGAGCTAGTCTAACCATGCGATGGGAAGGTTCGGGAAAGGGATCGAAGGGTCTCGAAGTGACGAAGCGAGGCCCGGAGAACTCCCGAAGGTCGAACTGGAAGGTCTGGAGAAGCCGAGGCGGTTCTGTCAGGAGGTCTGGAACAGTCCCGAGGCTTCGGGTGTGTTCGAGCGTACGCGATAGTAGTACCGCTCGGTAAGGAACGGAAAATTCCTTACAGCGTGCTTACACTTGGAAAGGATGATGTGGAGAGTAGCGTACCGTAGCGGCGATGTTTTCCTCGTCCCAACTCCGTTTTTGTCAGCATCGTTGCTGTTTTCGCTGTCGCCAGCTCGCGCTGTAGCACAACTCACGTAACACTTCTTGGAAACCCCAGACCCTACCCGCACCCACAATTTCAAAATCCACCTCTTGAGGGCATGCCTCGCGCATAAGTTTAATTGCGATTGGGTGAGAATCGTTTTGAGTTAGAAGGTTTCCATTATGACATGGAACGGTTGGGTCGGGTTTTGAGCGAGAAACGTACACACGGAACAAGCCCTGAGACTCCTAGGAAAGTTGTTCCCGTAGCATATAGATGAGAGAAGCGGGCATGGTGCCAGAGTTGCCCAACCCCCCAGAGTTACACTTTTCAGCCTGGTTACGTTTTTCGCGTACATTTCGGGAGCTCCTCGCGAGTCATTCTCTGGACACAAAATTTCGTCAAACATGTAACTAGTCGTGCAACCTCGCAAGCCCAACTCTAGGCACCACGCCCACTGCAATATTTGTTTGGTTGCCTAATCCATCCCTGCGCTGCAGGCAATTTCTCCTGTCTTTTGCTAGCCAGATGGAGTGAGTCGGAACAGCGAAAATGGTCCTTTATCTCAGATGGAAATGGTCTCAAATTCAGGAAAGAGTATTTCCCGGGCATAGCATGTGTAACAACACAGCAATGGTCGGTTTGTTTGGTTTCGGCTACTGAACGGTTCTGAGCGACTGAACGAGCTGTTTCAAGCCGTTAGCCACTCGGAGCCATGGTGCTTTCGTGTCGTACTGTAAGCTAGGGCGAGGGAGGATTCAGCTAAAGAAAGGAGGATTCGATTGAACCGAGTCCCACGGTCCCACGGCGCTAAGCCATGATGCCTTCTTTTCTGTTGCCTTCCCCGCTGTTGCCTTCCCCGCGGTTGCTTTCTTTTCGGTTGATTTCCTGCTCGACACGCCTATTCGTCTTTTGAGGCAACATCCTAGCCAGAGTGGCCAGCGACATCCATCGACAAAAAACGGAAGTCGAGGCACCGATCCGTAGAACGTACGCAATCCTACAAAAAATTTGAAACACATAATACCGCGCTGTACCTTACGGCGGATGTCGACGGATGTCGTCGAAATCCACTCTGAAGACACCCTAAAGAATGCCCCGCTGTTACAGCACCGTTCTGCATAGTCGAGCGCGGCCACTACCAGCGATTTCCTGCACCACAAGCCTGATCGACTGCGTTTGACGTAGAGACGATCACACGCCTACGTGTGTCGGCGATCGCGTCGCGAGCTTAGGGGGTGTGGGGTGATAGTAGTGAATAAGAGCGTGGCCTTCCCCAGGGGCAAGAGATCATGTGGGGGTCTCCAAACATAATCGGTCGTTTTTTAAGGTGCATAAAAAAGCGCCAGTAATTTCCACGCGCTCTAAGGGCTGACTCTGACGGCTCTGACTCTGAGGGCTCGGAATCTGACGGCTCTGAGTCTGAGGGGATTTTTGAGGCGCCTCAAAACTCGACTCCGAGGGCTCTGACTCCGAAGGCTCTGACTCCGAGGGCTCTGGCTCCGAGGGCTCTGACTCCGAGGGCTCTGACTCCGAGGGCTCTGACTCCGAGGGCTCTGGCTCTGAGGGCTCTGACTCCGAGGGTCTCGGACTAAAGATCTCCAGGACGGGGAGTGGTGGAGCTTCATCTTTGGGGGGTGGGGACGCGTCAGCGTCGGGCTCTGCCGCTGCTGCTTAGGGAATGGGGGGCAATGAGATCTCCCCCGTACTCGTTCTTCTGACTCTTCTTGCCTTCAAGTCGCTCGCCCTTCCAACAGGTTCGTGCGCTCCGTTTGTCCCTGCGTTCCCCAGAGGCTGTCCTAATCCAAAAGCCTCTGAACTGCTGTAGGTGCAGGTAGAGTTGTAGGGTATACTATGGCACTACTACTTAAGGTATAGTACAATGCTTCTGGAACTTCTATTATTCGTGGTCTGCTGTCAGATTCAAAGTACAACGCGGGTCTAGATTTGTTTCCCGAGCTTGTTTTCTAAGTCCCATACTTTCCTGTTCTTTTCCAACTCTCCGCTTCCCCTTTGTGGCAGCAGTGGTGGCTCAATCCCCCCCAGCCTCGCCACCTTCCCAACTAGTTGCCGCCTCTCCGCCTCCTCGAGTTAGAGCCCCCCCACCACCTCCCCCTCCAAAAAAAATTCCTTCCCCTCCTCAGCAGGCTATCTCCCCGCCTCCCCGAGTTAGCGCCCCCCCACCACCTCCCCCTCCAAAACAATTCTCTTCCCCTCCTCTGAAGGCTCTCTCCCCACCTCCCCCAGTTATAGCCTCCCCGCCTCCCCCAGATGCAGGCTCCCCGCCTCCCCCCCCATCTCCTGGCTCCAAAGTAGAGCCCTCCCAGCCTCCCCCAGTTGCGGCTTCCCCGCCTCCTCCCCTTGGCGAGCCCTCCCGCCCTCCCCCCATATCTCCAAAATCAGATGCGCCCTCTCTGCCTCCCCCAGATACAGCCTCCTCACCTCCGCCCCCTGCGCCTGGCACACCAGTCCCCCCACCCCCTGGCTGCACCCCCAGGCGCCGCCCGTGCCCCCGGCAGTGTGACAATAACAAGGTGAACGAGCCGTGCCGGTTCAAGCGGGTCTGTGAGAACAACGAGGTGTGCATCCCCTTTGTGATCAGCTGTGAGGGGTACAAGTGCATGAAACTGTTTATTCGGGGGCGTTAATGAGTTTGCCTGTTGAAGATTATGGTCTGTGCGGATGGTGAGGTGCGCTACCCGTTTGTGAGCAGCTGCGAGGGCTACCAATACATTAAGCTGTTTGATGGAGGGCGTTTACGAGTTAACCCACTGGCATATTACGATGTGTGCGGACGACGAGGTGTGCATCCCTTTTGTGACCATCTGTGCTGGCTACAAGTGCATGATGCTGTCAACTGGGGGGCGTTGATGTGCTTACCCGCGTAATATTTGGGTGTGCGCGTGCGGACGGCGAGGCGAGGAGTGCATTCCTTTTTTAAGTGCAAGGCTTACAAGTGTATAACTATCTTCCTTGGCGGGAATCAAGGGGGCATTATATGTGCCTTGCTGGCTTACTACCTTCGCCAGTCTTTCACTACGATTGTGTCGTGGTGGCACTGGGATAGCCCTGTTGAGCCTCCCTAAGTGAGGGGAGGTGGCATTGCCGAAAGTGGCCAATCAGTGCTTTCGCACAAGCAGCCTCACGGTACAATATGGGTAAATTTTGGTGAAGGGCCAATAAGTCTTAGCGTAAAAAAGTGACTAGAATGAGACTGTACAAGGGAATATGGCCAAGGGGTTGTACTCTATACGAGAATGCACCTATCTAGGCTATTGTAACATATACAAATATGTTTTGCACCACCCCTAAGCTAGATGAGGGGCAGTGCCTGGCAAGTGACACACAGCTCAAGGTGGCACTACTGGTTCAACCTCTGGGGCAAAGGTCCGAAGACCAGTTAGCAAGGGTGCAAACTAAACAGGAGTAATTCAGGGCGACACTACTAGTCCAGCCACTGGTACAAGAGCTAGAAGGCCAATCAAGATAATCTAAGAAGAAGTACACAGTCAGGGTCCTAACAAGCGAGAAGCTACAGGAACTAGACCAAGCTGTACACAATACCGCTGATGATCTTTAGGCGCAAGCGCCTTCGTAAAGATATCAGCTGTGTTGGCACCGGAGGCCAAGTGAACTACGCGAGCCTGGCGGCGTTGCTGTAGCTCGCGTAGGAGGAAGTACCGCAGCTGGATGTGCTTTGCTCTGCCCTCCTGTCGAGGCTCCGTTGTCAGCGTACGGGACCGGGACAGAGCTAGGCCGCTCACCTAAGTCTGTAATCAAGAAAGTCAGCAAACGAAGCTCCTGTGCTGCCATTACACCAGCGCAGATCTCGGCCTCGCAGCTCGACTAGGCAACAGACGACGAGCGGGTGGACCTCCACGAGATGGCGCTTCCACCAAGGCTAAAGTAATAGCCCTGGGAGGACCTGAGCGTCTCAGCGTCGTTCGCCCACGAAGCGTCAGTACCACTGGCCTCCATCCTCCTTGCACTAGCCCCATGCCCAATGTACTTGCTAGATAACGCAAAGCCCTCTTAGCGACTGACCAGTGCTGTGGTCGGAGTCTTCCTGTGGCCACAAAGCAGGCCAGGATGCTGAGAGGGTATGCAAGTCATCAGGTACATGAGGCAACCCACCAGCTCTGCGTAAGGACCAGTAGGCTCTACAGGCTCCTCAGAGACAGGAGCCGAAAGCCTATGATCTACTGGCAGAGGTGTGGGCTGTGCGGAGGAGAACAGAAGGTCGAACCTCTGAAGGACCTGGCGCAACAAGTGTCACTATGTGAGAGTGGTGGTGCACGCTGCTCTTTTTCCTGGAGATCTGAAGGCCTATGTAGCAGCGTAGCTCTCCTAGGTCAGTGCAGGTGTGTCTCCTCAGCAGTTCGGCCTTCACGGAGGCCAGTGCGTCAGTGTCTGCAGTAGCAAAGAGCAGGTCGTCTATGTAAACTAGGATGTAGAACGGGGTTTGGCCAGCACGAACGAAGAGCGAGGGGTTTGCAGACGACGGGAGGAACTGCAGGTCAACTAACGTAGCACGCAGGGTATCGTGCCACTCGCGCGGTGCCTATCGCAGGCCGTAAACCGGGTGCCGAAGGAGCCATTGGGTCCCGGGGGCGTAGGTGCCGGTAAAGCCTGGCTGACGGCGCAGGTTGACCTGCTCGTGCAAACTGCCCTGAAGAAAAGCTGTCGAGAAGTCGAGAGAGTGCAGCTCGTACTCACGTAGTGCTGCTATGTGTAGCAACGTCTGAAGAGCAGTCATCTTCGGGGTCGGGGCAAAGGTCTGGAAGGAGTCGACACCCTCGCGCTGACTGAAGCCTCTAGCAACGTAGCGTGCCTTGAACAGATGCGGCTAACCAGGAGGGCGCTTCACCTTGAAGAGCCACCAGCCATCGACTACGTTCACAACAGGTGTCACAGGATCGAATGTGTCGAGGAAAAGTTGCACTATCGATTGATACAAGACGCTTTTATACTTCCAGAGTACATCAGGTAACCAAGTTTATCTTATCCAAAGAGAATAGACCCTTCTAGAAATAGAATCACCTTGCGTATAGCCACACGAGGCTATTGGCTTTAAGGGATTACGGCAAGATTCCGCTAGATATAGCGTGCCAGTACATCCCGAGCATGGTCGGTGATATGATTATAATAACAGGATAAACCAAAGGATAATGGGGTCATTCTCTAACACTTCCCCCCCTCAAAGCTGGGTGGTAGAAGTAACACCCTGCTTGACAAGGGAGTCGCGAAGAGGACGACGAGCGTTACTCATTGCAAATTCAGGAACCCAAATATCCTCAGAAGGATCATAACCCTTCCAACGAATGAGAAGCTCCACAGCGCCATTCCGACGACGACGGTGTGCGAGCACGGACTCGACCTCGTACTCGGGTTCATCGTGGATGAGGACGGGCGGCGGCAGCGGGGGTTGGCGTCCGGTGAAGACCGTGTTAGGATCTCGATATGGCTTCAGAAGTTGGACATGGATGGCGTTGTGAATCTTCCAGGTAGCTGGTAGGCGTAAGCAGAAGGTAACAGGAGTGACCTGTGCTTCGACGAGAAAGGGCCCGCAGAAGCGAGGTCGCAGTATGGATGGAAGATGACCGATGTCGAGATTGCGGGTGTCGAGGAGAACCTGATATCCCATGGTGATGGTGTGGTCAGTGCGGTGGCGATCGGCATGTCGCTTCTGTTGCTGCTGAATGTCGAGAAGGCGCTTGTGGGTCCGATCCCAAAGTTGGTGCATGGTCGTTATGAAGTTGTGTGCGAGTTGGACTGTGGCTGATACTGTCGGTTTTTGTGGCGTGAGCGGGTGGCGTTCTTAGCAGAGAAAGAACGGCGTCTGTTCAGTAGCGGCATGAGTGGTGTTGTTGTAGGCAAGCTCTAGGACGGGCAGATGTAAGTCCCGCTCAGAGATTTCGTCTTTGCATGCTGTGCGGAGGAGTTGCTCTACAATTTGGTTGAGGCGCTAGGTCTGTCCATCTGTTTGCAGATGGTAGGCGGATGACATGGCGAGTTTGGTTCCAAGCAGAGACATCAGTTCCTTCCAGAACTTGCTGGTGAACTTGGGGTCTCGGTCGGAGATGAGTGTGGCTGGAATGCCATGTTGCGAGATGATGTAGCGAACGAATAGTTGTGCTGTCTCTTCGGTGCGTGCAGTCGTGTGTGTCGGGATGAAGTGTTCCATTTTGGAGAATTTGTCGATGACGACAAGGATTGCGTCATGACTGCTTGTGGTAGTTGGTAACCCGGTTATGAAATCCAGGCTAACTACTTGCCATGGCTGTTCTAGGACAGGAAGAGGCTGTAGCAGTCCTGCTTTTTTCAGCTTGCTGCTCTTCATCCGCTGGCATGTAGCACACGAGGTGACGAATTTCTGGATGTCGTCTGCCATGTGGGGCCAGTAGTAGTGCTTTGTAATACCGGTGAGCGTCTTGTTGCTACCGAAGTGTCTTGCGTGTAGGACATCATGGTATTCTTCGAGTAGTAACTAGCGCAAAGGAGGGTAATTGGGTACCCAGATTTTCGTGGATCCCTTCCGGTACGCGATGCCACTGTCCCACTGTAGCATGTGTCACTTTGCTGCCAAAGGAATTTCGGGGTCAATGGCGTACCCGTGTGTGAAGAGTCCCTTTAGTAGTGGATTCATCCCTTCAACCTAGATTTCGACAACGTGTGCAGGCCGAATGAGAGCGTCTGCTTTGTTTTTGTGGCCGGGCTTGTACACGATGTCATAGTGGAAGTGTGTCTCGAGGAAGTCAGTCCATCGGACCTGTCGCCTGGAAAGGGTTGGTTGTGTCTTTAAATATTTCAAGCTGCAATGGTCGGTGTAGACGGTTGTTTTCTGTCCTTCGAGATAACATCTCCACGTTTTGAAGGCGATGATTTATAGCAAGGGCCTCCTTGTCGTGTATCGGGTAGTTTAATTCTGCCCCGTGTAGTTTCTTGCTGAGATAGGCGATTGGTTGCAGTCCATTCCCCTGGTCTTATCAAGGTTGCTCCCACTGCCTTGTCACTAGCGTTAGCTTCGATATCGTAGTCGCGTTCGGGGTCTGGCAAGATGAGTACGGGTGCGGACGTGAGTGCTTGGTTCAGCTGCTCCACGGCTTCCTGATGTTGTGGTTCCCACTTATAGGGCGTGTTCTTCTTCAGTAGATTCGTGAGTGGTGTTGCGATTTTCGCGTACTGTGGCACGAACCTGTTGTAATAGTTAGCGAAGCCTAGGAACTGCTGTAACTCCTTCACATTCTTGGGTATCTTCCACGTGCGTACGATTTCGACCTTCTTGGGGTCGACGTGAATTCCTTGAGCGTTCACCATGTGCCCGAGGAACTGGACTTTCTCGAGGGCGCATTTGCTCTTGGATAGTTTGATGTAGAATCGTTCTCGTCGAAGAATGTCGAAGACCCGTCGCAGGTGTTGGATGTGCTGTTGCATGTCGCACGAGTAGATGAGGATGTCGTCCAGGTACACCACCATGCATTCGTCCAAGAGTGGGCGTAGTATGTGGTTCATTTCGGCTTGGAATGTTGCCGGTGCGTTGGTGAGTCCGAACGGCATTACCAGATACTCGTACGACCCGTACCGAGTCGGAAGGCATTTTTGTGGATAGAATTGTCCGCCATTCGTATCTGCCAGTATCCGGAGCGCAGATCCAGTTTGGAAAAAACCGTGGCTCCCCAAAGCTGGTCAAGCAGGTCATCGATTCGTGGAATCGGGTATTTTGTTTTTTATGGTCTGCTTGGTGAGAGCTCGGTAATCGATGCACATGCGCAGGCTTCCGTCCGGTTTTGGTGTGAAGACCACTGTGGCACCGTATGGCGAAGTGGATGGTCGGATGAGTCCTTTGGCGAGGAGATACTCGATATGTTTCTTCATGTCAGCTAGTTCTGTTGGGCTGAGCTGATATGGTGCTCGGAAGGTCGGCTTCGAACCGGGTTCCTCCACGATCTCGTGTTGGTGCGTTCGGTATGGCGGTAGCTTGTTTGGGAGGTCGTCGGGAAGAATGTCTTCGAACTCCTTTAGTATTTCCTTGATTTCTCTTGGAGGTTCCGAGGTCTTCTCCTTGTCCCTTTCCACGTCTGTTGCTAACGCCAGGAACTCGGTGTTGGTTCGTTTCACGTCCTTCTCGAACCTGGTGAGTGTCTTCACTGGGATATCTCCTGTATCGTCCCAGCTGGGTAGTTGGACTCTCCTTCCGTTGTTGTAGATGCTTGCGGTGGGATTTACCTAGTTGATCTCGGGGTTGAATTTCTTGAGAAAGTCTCGCCTGAAGATCAGGTCAAGCCCTTTTATGTTGGTGATGGGGAGAGCAGGTTTCCAGCGCAGTGGACCGATTTGTAGGTGTAACACTGCTTCGCCGTTTACCGGTAACTTGCTGCCGTCCACCATCGTTGCAAAGAATCCCGAAGGCTTGTACTCTTCTCGAAGTCGGTCGATTGTTGCCTTGTCGCATACGGTGTGTGATGCTCCACTGTCCATGAGTGCTTGGAGGTGTCGTCGTTTGCAGATGACCTCGAGCACGAGGGGCAAGCGTTGCTCGGAGTACCCAAAGATAGTCTCATTGATAGGATCATAGGGAAAAATCCCAATATTCCGTACACACCTTTTTATTGCTATCTACTCTTGAGCTGGCAGCTGGCCGAGGCTGCTCGGAGAAGGGTTCTTCTCTAGGGCCCAGAGTTTTCTTGACGACTGTGTGCGTCGTTGATGCCAAATTTGCTGAGCTGGATGCATCCGAAGGAGGAGTTCGGGGTTTTTGCAGCTTCTTGTAGACCCCCAGCTTTCTCTTGAGCTGCTTCAGCTGCACCGACGTCTTCCCTGGGGAAGGGGTAGTCGTTATGGGCTGGTGTCGAGAGAGGACGTTGAATCTGTGGAAAGGTCGGCTTCTTTCCACACTCCTTAATTTTGTCCCCAAGTTCTCTGGTACCGGTATGATCTCCACAATTTTTTGCTTCTTCTGGAGTCCCCTCTGAAATTTCTCCAAGGCTCTGGCCCCTCGAGAATCATAAGTTTTCATAAAAGCATCCTTATAAGATAACTTAAACGAATTCTTATAATTTCTTGGGTCTTCTCAGGGTTTCCCTGTCTCAGCAGAGTCTTTTTTCGCGGAGTCCGATTTTTTCTCGACGATTTTCCCTGGCGAAGACTGGTCATGGGGTGGAGACTTTTCCCCATCATTTCCTCTTGCTCGCGTCGAATCAGCTTCGCTGAAGTTGATTTTCCCGGAATTTTGCGGTCGCTTTCAGATCTTTTATTTTTCGCCAGTTAGATCCGCAATCACTGGCGAATTCCGTTTTTTGTCTTCTGATTGGCCGAAGAATTCCCGTCACTGTTGCGTGCCCGATACTCTGCTCGTGTGGCTTTCATTTTGTTGCAGTCAAAGATTCGATGGCCCGGCACCCCGCAAAAATCACATGTGTAGTTGGTGTTTTTCGGACGTGGCCGCCCGTCGAACCTGTCGATTTCCATTGGGTCGGCGAACGTGGTGTGAGCCGATCGATCGCCCTGTCGCGTACTGCTGACGTGCGCCCGTCGTGTTCCGGTGTTGACCATGTCAAACCGCTCCGCTGCCGATACGACATCGCTGTAGCTCGCGTAATTTGTCGCTGCTACCTGTCGTTTGACTTCGGTCTTCAGCCCGGCGAGATACGACTGTACGTTTTCTCCTTCGGTCAGATCGGGAATGCGGTTATAAAATTCCTCCATCTGTTGCGTGTACTGTGCTACACTCCCGAACTGTCGATGGCGATGAATTTTTTCCCGTGCAAGGAAACCGGAATTTATCGGCTCGAAACGTTTCAGCAGGTCGGTGTGGAACTACGGCCACCTGGCTTCGTCGTGGATGAAGCTACTGTTGCCGGCGATCCACTCAAGTGCCGACCCTTTCATCAGTGTCACCGCGAGTCGTACGCGCGGACCGTCCCAAACTGGCGAGCTCCATCCGACGGCTGCTGAGTAGATCTCCATTCCGGCGATCCATCTGCGGATGGAGGATGGAGGATGGACATGGTCAGAGACCACAGCGGTGACATAGTCAAGGTGGCGGGCGGAGGCGAAGTCAGCGACAGCAGCGACAAGCGCGTCAAGACGCGAGACAGGAACAGAGAGGTCAGTAACGAGGGAGGCAAGGACTCGAAGAGAACTAGCGGCACGCAGGAAGACAGACAGAGGAGGCGGAGCGACAACAAGCGACGACGGAGGAGGCGAGGGGAGGAGGGGAGGATGAGATGCGTGGGAACGGAGCAACATCGGGTGAAAGCACTCGACAGGAGAGACAGGACGAGCACGAGAGAGACGACGAGACCAGAAGTGGGACAGAGACGTGGGGTCAGGAGATACAGGAGGAGACACATGAGGAGAACGAGGGGGGAAACGAGCCAGAGACGAGTCCGGCGGAGGAAAGACAAGGCCGTAGATAGGCACGAGAGGCGGCAGCGGGGGAGGCGCAGGCGGGTAGTCAGGGGAGGGAAGGCTGAGAAGACTAAGGGTGGACACTGGCGGCGACTGCTGCTGCCGCTGCTCCACCCCCACGACCGCCAGGACAAGCCACGTCAAGAACCCCAGGACTAGCACCCTCCTCAACGCCAGTACCCCAAGAGCCCGCGAAAGCTGCTGCTGTTGCGGCGGCTGCGGCAGCAACGGCGCTTGTGGCGGCGGCTGCGACGACGATAGTGGCTGCTTTGATGGCGGAGGAGGAGACACCGGGGCAAAAATAGGCGGCGAGAACTGCGAAGTGGGGCCACCAGAGTGAACCGACTCCTCGACCGGGACAACCGACGGGAGGGGAGTGATGTGAGAGACACCGGACGGGGCAGGACGGGGAGGGAGAGGAGCAGGGGCTACCGGGGAAGTGGGAACCTGAAACAGGGGTGGGGAAACCAGGAGACCTCGGTGGGGAAAGCGGTGGTAGACGGAGACAAACTCGTTGAAAATGGCGTCATGGGAGTGAAAGAAGCGGTGAGACGGCGGGTGGTAAAAGTGCCAGTCAGACGAGTCGAGGGGGAAACCAAGGAAGACACAGGGGACAATGCCGGCAGTGAGCTTGTCCGTGCCAAAGGCACGAACGTGAGCAAGGCAGCCCCAAAAGTGGAACGCGGACGCGTGACCAGGTGACCCGGTCCAAAGAAGGGTCGGCAAAACCTGCAGCCGTTGGGAGTGCGGCCACAGAATAAGCTGGTGAGCGCCATAGCGAACAGCGAATGGCCACAGAAAATGGGGTGCACCGGCAAGGATTATGGAGGTACGAGCTACCTCCAAGACCAAACCGATGCGTCGCTCAGCGACCCCATTCTGCTGTGGGGAGTCCGGCAGGGTGTACAACTGGATGATGCCCTCCGCACGACAGAACTGGCCAAGCCAACCGGAGGACATGCGCAGCTACAACCCACGGGATAAGAACGTTAGGCACGTCGGCCTTCCGCTCCAGGGGAAACAGTGTAGTGTAGCGCGTGAAGTCGTCGACAAGCACCGGAAAGTAGCGCTCTCGACGTCCAGGAGCAGGGTTTGGAGTGGTGCAGTGGTAGGGCGAAGCGAGGTGGAGTGAGGAGCACGGCGCAGCCGGCCCTCGATGCAGGGCATGCACGGTGGCACACGCGAGGGAGGGAGGGCAGGGAGCGACGCAGGGAGACCTAGGACAAGCCCGTCCTAGGACATGTGACGCAAATATGGGAGTGCGTGGTGACCTAGGCGGTGGTGCCACAGAAGCGACGGGTGAGTGAGCGACTGACACAAGCACGCTGGAGCGACCTGGGTAGACACGGCCACCTGGGGGGGCACCCTCATTAAGGGGGACTCGGTGTCGAGTGTAAACAGGCCAGACACGGGGTCCTGGGGGAACGTGGTGAGGGGGGCACCTGTGGCGGCCTCGGTACAGACCGTGTACCGCTCGTGTGTAGGGAACGTACTGGTGACACCGAGGTCCTGAAGACAGCCGACACCAACTAGGTTCCTGGTAAACGAGGGGATTTGTAGGCCTGTAAGAGAGCCCGAGGGAACCACCGGACAGGGAAGGGTAGTGGAGCTACGGGCAACTACCGGACCTGAGGAGGGGTCAGCAAGCGCGACAGCGACAGGAGCTGCAAGCGGCATAAGCGCAGTGTGGTCGCGGAAGAAGTAGGCAGATGCACCAGAGTCAAGCGTGAAGGAGAGCAAAGCGGTAGCGGCAGCCGGTGCAGGAGCTAGGGTGTAGCCTAGGCTAAACAAGGTAGAATGTCCTACGCCTCACGCAGCAGGTAAGTCTAGATTACACACAGGAGGCACACCTACACTAGGCAACAAAGGGTAATAATATCCGGGCACACTAGAGTCATCAGCATACATGGCATGCAAGGCAGGGCAAAGCTGATCCATATCCATCTCAAAGACATGCACACGTCGACGTACCAGACTGGGCCAGTCGGGAAGGTCCGGCGCAGGGCTGAAGCGAAGACGGAAGAGGTCGTCGAGGCGGCGGAAGCAGTGGGCGGCAGTGTGACTGGGACGACCACACACAGTGCCGCCGAATGGGCCAATTTGGAGCTGGTACTGGCAACCCACAGAGCCAAGGCTACCACCCGACGCCAAGCTGCGAGGGCCGCCACCACGGCCGCTACCACCAGAGGCACCGGGCCACCCCAGCGGGAGGCAGCCCCACTGCTGTTGCTGCTGCTGTGACTGCTGCTGCTGCGGCTGCTGCTGCTGCTGCTTCTGC